TCCACCTTATAGCCCAGACTTGATATCAACTGACTACTATCTATGTTGTGTTTTGCAGAACCATATTGTGCCAATATACAATTCAATGACAATTCCTATGTGAGAATGATGCTATAGAAAAACACTAGTCATTCCATGTTCATGGTATTGAAAGTTTGCATTAAAGATGTTGAAATGTGATTGATATTGATGGTGATTACCTTCAAAACTGAACTGTAGTCATCGTTGAATTAATTGTCATTAAAGATTTTTTTCAAAATGTCTAAATTTCATCTTTACAACCTGATATAATTGGGGTTAAAAGCGTAAAGCATTGTGGGCAAAACATCTATTGTGCTAACAAGGTTATAAATTCTAAAAATAAACTTATTTCTAGATTAAAACAAATAAATATACTCTGTACATCCGACTTCAAGAGACTTAATCAGGCAGACAAATGAAATAACTAAGAAATACTAAACCTTTATTTTTAACAATTCCATTCTCAACAATTCCAAACCATCCAAATGCATTTTGCCTTTGCAATCAGGCCTCATCAGTGGATACAGTTAACTTTTTTTTTTGTTTTTTTTGGAATTGTTGAGAATGGAATTGTTAAAAATAAAGGTTTAGTATTTCTTCGTTATTTCATTTGTCAGCCTGATTAAGTCTCTTGAAGTTGGATGTACAGAGTATATTTACTTGTTTTAATCTAGAAATAAGTTTATTTTTAGAATTTACAACCTTGTTAGATATATTATTACTGATCCCATTGTTTTAATTTTTATCTATTGTGCTCCCTATTTAAAGAAAATACTTTAGAAATTTAATTTTTTTAAAGAAAGACAACAGATTTCTAATGGAAAGATAGTAGCATAGTCAGAGCTCAAAACAGAAAAACTCAAATGAATATGTCTACCTGATCAAAGAGTTGAAATAAAATATGTAATTACCAACAACCAGCATGAATTAAATTTAACTAATTGAAAAACAAATGTTTTCCTCCATTTTTAATGGTTATCATCAGGTTTAGAACTAATAGAATGCTTGTTAAAAGAAAAAAAAATTTAAAAATTTTGCACATTGTGAAAATTTCTCAGGCATGCTCAATGTAGCATTTAACAAAGTTCTTCAAAGTGAATTACAATTTTAAAAAATACAGTGGAACCCTGGTTAATGAACTTAATTCGTTCCGTGACTCCGTTCATTAACTGAATTGTTTGTTAACCGAAACAATTTTTCCCATAGAAATTAATGCAAATGCAATTAATCCATTGTAGTCTCCGAAATTTTTGTGATTTTATTTGTAATATACAGCAGATTTTCTTTGATGAAAATGTAGGAAAACGTAGTATCTATCATTACAGCAACAAACATGTAAAATTTGTTTAATAAAATAACACTGTACATACCTTTGTTTGTTGTAGTTGGTGGCAGAAAAGTGAAGATATACGAACTTTAATGCTTAGAAGGGGAATCCCCTCCAAAAAATAATGGGTAGCACTTCATTGGAAGATTCTTCGAGTCGAAGTCTCTTTGGTAAAAAATCCACCAGTGGCTAAGTGGTCTTCGTACCTGAGTTTGTTCGTGGGTTTGCACCTTGCACAGACGGGCTGGCTGGCCACGTGGAGTTTTCTGGGATTTCTCCACGTCTGTAACGCCTAAATAGGGGCCAGTTTCCCTGTAAAAACACCTCCCAGAAGGCATTCCCCCCTAGTCAGATCGCCCAAGTGTTGCGTTGCCATAACTTAACAAAGAAACAAACTCTTTCTGTAAGGAAAAAGAAATTGATCTAAAGTTGATTGTCCTATTCTTTTAAGCAAAATCTTTCTCAAATGCGATAGCGTGTAGTTGTTTTGTATTGCCACTATGACTTTTTTCTTTCTTTGATGCCATATTGATTAAATATATAAATCACAAAACTGAAAAAAGAAGCACAAACACTTGGAAAAGCAATGCTTAACTCGCGCATGCCTAACACCAACTAAAATTTGACACAAAATACCGTTACGTTTGTTATCTGAATTTTGTTCGTTATCCGAGACAAAATTTTTGCAAAATAAAAGTTCATTAACTGGGGTTCCACTGTACCTGGTTTATATAAAATATAAAATATAAATTTAACTCAAGTTCTATTGTAAGTCAAAGCGTGCCCTTCACATGGTTGTTGGTGAGTCCATTTCTTTAACATTAATTGTTGTCCCTCTTTTAAATACTTTGAATATTTCTAGTCATTCAAGATGTTTCAAGTTGGCCAGGTCATTGCAGCATTGTAGTAATCGGGCATCCTCAAATTTAACCTGCATATTGTTATCAGCAGCAAAAGAAGCTAATGCAGTAGTGGAAAGATCCTTCTGAATTCTGTATTTATGCTCCTCCATCCTCATTTTTAGACCATGAGTAGTAGTAGCTCCAATATATTCATATGGATAGTTCACCTTATGATCATTTAGAGGGATAGTATAGACTCCCAGGATACGATTTTGGTCCAATCAGTCCTTATCATTTCTAATACTAGAAAAAACAGTAGGAGATCTGCTATAAGTGATCCTGTTACTCGTAAAGTGGGATATTTCCTTGTAGATGTTGGCAAGGACCTTATTATAAGTAACAGGTAAAAAGGACCTGTCTTTCGATTGTAATGTTTCAGTTGAATGCTCTTGGCCTACAATAAGAGCATTGATAAGGTATGCAGGGTATCCATGCTGCCTGGCTATGCTTGAAATGTAATCCTGTTCTATTTTCCTATCCTCTGCCATCGAACAATGGGTGTAAGCTCTTCTTACAAGGACCTTAAAGGCAGAGATTTTATAATTGAAGGGATCATGCAATTTTGCATGGATGAAGAGCGGAGCATGAGTTTTTTTATGGAAGACCTTTGTTCTCAACCAACCATATTGTAATGTAATGTCTGTCAAGAAACTGTACCCGGGTGGAGATTTGTTGCTCTACCTGCAAAGAGAGGCTGTAAGTGTTATCATTGAAAGTCTTGATGAATGCAGACAGGTTCAGTTTTTTCTCCAAATAATCAACACATCACCGTATCTTGTGTATAACATAATGTTATCATTAATGCCAGGTAAGACATATTGTTCATGGTGCCTGGCCACCAGTTCACAAAGCATTCCTGAGATAGGACTATCCATGGGTACACCTCTTCCTTTGAGGAAAGTATCCCCTTCAAATACAAAAAAGGCTGAGCGACATATAAGATGTGCTAACTCCAATATGTTGGAAATGTGTTTGGAAGAGTTGTTGATATTACGAATGAGAAAGTTCTGCAATTCACAAAAACACTACTCTATATGAATAGAAGGAACATGGACTCTAAGTCACATACCATGAAGTAGATGCCATCCAAGTTGCCATACAAAAATAAACGGGTATTTTTAATTAAGTTGTAGTATGCACTTCTTTTGGCTGCATTGTCTCTCAGGACATCCAACTCCCAATTCCGACTGCTCATACATGCGACTGCTCATGTGTGAACGAACGAATTGCCATTGCTGATCCTGACATAGGCATCACCGGTCTGGTGCTGACCCTTTGGTCATAAAAGCAACACTATTTATATATTGCTAAATGATTCTGTTAATAAATGAAAGTACACTGCATGGGGACAGTTATTCTAACAACTGTTTGGTAGATGGATTGCCGTAGGTGGCCATGCCTAACCCAGCCTGGGCATCAAGGATGTTTGCTCCCATATCAGCTTGCTGTGTTGTCAGTTGGGTGAGCCTGGAAAAGAGTGTTTAGGGGGATGACCCCCTGGATTTGGGGGGCTGGAGGTCATCCTCTGTTTGATGTCACTCTATTACATATTAAAACCTAACTGACCTGGCAACAAAACTGGCTAGACCTGGCACTCTTTGGCCTGTCTCAGTCCTTGTGCCACAAACTTCAATCAACCAACCATAAATGAAAGTATGCAAATCACACATTGTGAAAATTTTGGTTTAAAATTAAATTACTAGTATAAAACAATATTAACAATATGACTTAAATCTATGTTTAACCAAGTCAATTTACATACTTTTCCAGCAGTAAGTAGATGATTTATGAACATTTTTGACTTGTAAGATAGCCAAAAGGTTCGTAAATTGTCTATTTCATTGCTGAAAAAGTACATAGGTTGACTTGGTTGAACATAGGTATAAGTTCCAGCTTTCAGAAAGTGTAATTTGGCTTAAATCTAAAGCTTAATGAAGTGATTGTTTTAATAAAACATAGCTGTTTTTTTTCAAATAATCTTTAAATAGAAAGTAACTGCATTTAACTTAAAATGAATTATTTAATTAAATTGTTTCAGTAAAATTTTTTATGTTAATGTTTATTTTTGTATTTATTTAATGTAAAAAGGAGTGTCAATGCTTATATCTAATCATATTTTATTTAAATTAAATTTAATATAATTTTAGTAATAATTTTAAAAAAAGTCATTAGCATATCTATAAGTGAAAATTACCGAAATTTTATTTATTATAAAAAAAGAGGATAAGGTTAAATAAACTGGTGACTTAATATAATGCAGCCCTTCAGGTCCAAAAAAGCCAACTATGTACTGAGACTTCATTATAGGAAGAAAATTTTTTGCTAAATAAATGAACAACCCATATTACATGGCAGTTGTTTATCAACTTACCATTCACCCTACAAAGATACTCCCAACTATCCTATTTGCTCTGGCTTTTTCCATATCAAGACATTCAAGGGTTGAGTTGTGTTTACAAAGTAGAAAATGCATAGCTGGCAAAATATTACCTGCTTAAATAAGGTAAAATAAAAGCAACAGGATCTGATGAGATTGGATGATATATTGAGGTTCACAGTGTGTCTATATTCTATCAGATTCATATACGTACTATCAAAGCATGTTATATCAAGCCATCAGTGTATAACAAGAAAACAAACTTTAATACCTATTTTCATTATTGCATTCATACATAAAATAGATTAAGTTAGTAGTGTTAGCAATGAAATTTATTATATAAGAAAATTAATATAAATATAAATTTTTTCAGAGTTTTCAATAGTTTCTGAAGAAAAATATCCACCAATATTTTTAATCTTGGGTTATTCTAATGGAATTCAAATATGGGGAATTTTGGTAAGAGAACAGTTTCATAGCTAATATTAAGAAATTATTAAATGCTAGAAAATAAGTTAGGAAGAAAATTTGAATTTAATATTTTTGAATAATATAATACATGCTGGCCAAAAGTGTTGCAAAACATGAAAATTTGTCTTTTTTTTTATGATGTAATTTTGAATAATAGAATAAAATCATAGTATTATGATGATTGTTTTTTTTTTATAACCGAAAGATATTAATTAAATAGGAAATAAGCTTATTGTTTTATTGGTAATTATAAAAGAGCAGAGTTTTTTAACTTTTTTGTTTTTAAATTAAGCAAATTTCACATCAAAGAAAATAACATTCAAACTACATCAATTATTTAGAGCAGTGGTTCCCAATTACTTTTTCCTGCGTACCACTTCAAGAAAGAGCTCAAACTCGCGTACCCTTATAGCAGAAATTCATATTAATCCATACTAATATTATAAATTCGAAGGTAATTCTGCCTGTCTGTCTGTTACCTTTTCACGTCTAAATCGCTGAACAGGTTTTAATAAAATATGGCACTGAGTTAGCTTACACATTGGAGATGGAAATAGGCTACATTTTACTGCGAGAAAATATCTTACTCCCACGAGAAAATTCGATATAATGCGGGCGAAGTCGTGGGTAGACAGCTAGTGATAAATAAAATAAGTTTTTTTTTACATTTATTACCTTTAAAATACAATTCTAATAATAATGAAAATAACATAAGGTTATTTAATTTTAATGCGACAAATGTGCATGATTTTCTTTGCGCAACTTTGTAAAATCTGGTTGCTTTTTGGTCAGCTTCAGTCTCGAGTCATCTTCGAGTTGAAGTCGGTGACGATGTTTAGTTTTCACGTTTGTCATGGCGAAAATCCGCTCTCGCAGAGGTATGTTGTGCAAAATGGTAGTAAATATTTTATTGCTGCTTCACTGACA